GACCTATCTCTGTTGCCTCCCGGAGCCATGGTTTAGCCCTCCCCAGGTAATTGTGCATGGAAATGGATTCCCATTCCTCTGCTCAATTGTCCTGTTTGCTGTCACAGCCGAACGTTTTGCATGTGCAATTACCCGTCCCCGCACATCTCCGTGGGCACGCTCAGGTGTCGCCTGCCAGCCTCAGGCGGCCGCTGCGCAGCCACATCGTGCTGCGTTTGGGCTCTGATAGCAGTCAAGCAGAAGCCATTTTCCATATGAAGCTGCAGGACCTATGGGATAAATAAATGGGCTGGAAAACCAGGCTGTATAATGAGTTAATTTAAAACCTGCCTTCCCTTTTTGTATATTAATTTACTTGGCATTATGTTTAATCTTTCACTTACTGGGTTGCATTGGCTTCTTTGTCTCCTTCCCCCTCCGGCACATCTCTGGGATGCTCTGCCTTCGGCCGGAGCAGAAGGAAGCTAAGCCAGGGCTGGAAAGTGTGGACCAGACATGGGTCAAGAGGAGCTGCTGTGTCCCACAGATGCTCAGATTGCCACCTTGAAGGCTTTTGTTCTTGTGGATGCCCAGCAGGTGTGGATGAATTCCCTGTAGTGGAGGGGAGACCACTGCTGGGTATCCCTGGTGTCATTCCCAGGGTGCTAATTCCTTTAACCATCTGGGAGGGTGGTGCAGGGAGTTAATCAGCTGTAATAAGGACAGTTGGAGCTGACAAGGCAGCAAGAAGTGGAAGCAGTGGAGGCAGAGGACTAGGTGGAGGAGCTGAAATTTGGCTGGGAATGATCCTGCCCAAGCATCCATCACGCTGCTCCCATCCTCCAGCAGCCACAAAGCCTCGGGTGTGAGTGGATGGCACTTCACATGAGCACCTCTCTGAAGGGCATGGGAGGCCAGGGCAATGAATAAAAGGCTGCTGCAACCAGAGGAAGCAGGGAAGAGCTGACAGCAGCAGCTCTATGGTGGGGATGAACAAGTGAACGCTGGTCTGGGGCTTTGTGTCACTGTAATGAGGCTGTGATGCTGCTCTGTGCCCATGACTAGTCTGGATCCCCACCGGATCGCTCACTGGTCCGGTCAAAGAGAAACTCGAGGGTGAATATTGCAGTCAGGGAGAAGTGGGGAGGGAAGGAGCAGCAGGCAGGGCTTGTAAGGGCTCACAAGCAACCCAGTGATGCTGCAGCAGTGAATGCCAGAAAGTGTGGCAAGCATCAGGATGCCTCAGTGGGAGTATCCCCAGCCATTCCCATCACCTGTGTCTGCTGGGGATCAGCTTAAACTGTCTTTTAGAAGAACTGACTGACCATCTGAAAGAAACAGAGACTGTTGTGGAACCTATTTAAGATAGACTGAGCAGAGAAACTGTCCCTGAGGCCATGCCAGAGAGAGGAAGACTGATGCAGGCCCAGGGAGCACAGGGTCACAGGCAGGAGGTTTGATCTATGCCCACTGCCTCTTCCATGCTAGGGGAGCATGGGGAGCATCACAGCAGCTGCTGCTGGGAACATCCCCTTCCCTCCCCTCTTGATAAGGAACGTAGGTGAAACTTGCTGTGCCATGACTTTAATCAGCAAAGAAAACTGCAAAGCCTTTTTTTTTTCCCTTTCCCCACCTGCTGAATTCAGTGCCGAATGCGAATTAGGCAGCGTTTGGGCTTGGCTGCGCGCCCACTTCCCGTGCTAATGCAGGGAGCCAGACTCTCCCGCACTCCGAGCCTCCCCGGCTAATCCGAGGCGTGCCTGGATCAGCCTCTGGCATTTCACACTGTGTGTGTAACCCCCGGAGCTTAAAGGCTGCTCACTGCCCGCTCAGCCCGTGCCGGGGAGTGGGACTGACCCTTGGCACCCGTGGGTGGCTGGGCAAGGTGCTCCAGCAAGACCATGCCTCAGCAACCTGGGGAGCCCAGTGCAGCTCTGGGGAGTGTGTGGCTGCATTATCCCATGGCCGGTGTGCTCAGCAGCAACAGGCTGCCTACCCCAGGAAGGGATGCAGGCGTCAGCATCCTGGAGCTCTGCATGTGTGTGGGGTGCCGGAGCTGTAGCCCCAGGCTCACACCTATGGGTCCACGAGCGTGGCAGGAGTAATTTGTGGCTCCATTAGCACTGGGAGTCAGTATAGCAGCCCTGCAGTGTGTCCATTTGATAAGAAGCAAGTTCCACTGAATAATGAGCAGTAATTGGATTTCAGGGTTAACCAGCTTGCAGCAAAAATAGAAAAGAACAGAAAGCCATTGGATATTTCTGTTCTGGCTCATCAGACACTGGAAGTTTATCTCTGCTGAGAATAGCACAGGAGAGGTAAAGTTATTAGTGACCATCAGAGCATGGTGATACCATCTCTCTCTTGCATTTAGTGGGATGAGTCTGCGCGTCCTCTGTGAGTTTCATTTAAGGCTATGGAAGTTTATAACCCCCTGTAGGAGAGCTCCACCTGTACACCAATGCAGTGTGACAGAGAGGGGAGAAACCAGCTCTCCTCAGTGTGCAGGAGCACCTGGCCTTTCTGCTGCCAGCCTGAGGCAGAAGGCAGTGTCTCCTGCCAGTGTCACCTCATCCAGGTGACAGTCTGGTGGGGGGAAGGCCAGCAGATGTGCAGCACCACCATGCCTGGAGCTGCAGTTGCCTGCTTTGGGGTGGCACCAGTGTGGACAGGGTGGGCACTGGTGGTTGTGCCAAGCCCTGGGAGGTGCACACAGCCATGGTGGCTCATCTTCCAGTGAGATGAATTCATGCTGGGAGTGGTGCAGAGAAGGGCAATTAGCATGGGGCAGAATGGAGAGCCTGTCTTGTAAGATGGAGCTGAAAGCACTCGGCTTGTTTAGCCCAGCAAAGAAAGGCAAAACAGGAATATGATTACTCTCCATAAATATATCAGGCCAGTAAACACCAGGTACAGAAAGGAACCATTTAAGCTAAAAGACTATTGTGGCACAAGAACAAATAGGCTTAAAGTGGCTAATGTAGGCTGGAAATTAGGAGACAATTTTTAACCATAGGAAGCAGAGGAGGAAAAATATGTCATTGATTTTCCAAATGGAGCTGGACCACCATGTGAAGGGAGCAGAAAGCCAGCTGCCTGCAACTGCAGGGATCTGGAGTGGGGAGCCAGCAGGGTCCTGCTATGCCTGGCTCCTTCCAGGGTGGCTGGGTGCATGGTGCACAGCCAGCAACTTCAGAGGTCCCAGTTTTCCAAGGCAGGGAGCACAGGTCCTGCAGGCAGGGTCTGCTGACACCAGTCTGCTTCTCTTCAGGGGCTGGCAGGCACCTGGCACTTGGGACAACCCCCAAAGTGCCCCGGGTGGAAGGGGTAATGAACCAGAGGCAGCAAGAGGTGTCTACAAGCTTGGAAGATGCCACAGGAGCAAAGCCTTCACTGATCAGAGCAGGGCAGCTCAGAGCACTTGGATTAGGGCTCGGAATCTACTGCCATCACTGCTTGGTCTGAATGTTCACTGGGAATGGCATACACCTGAGCCACCAACTCCAGATTTTACCTCCTGCATGAAATTATTCTCAATTCCCTGTATATTCTAGGGCCTGCCTAAGGATGGGTGAAGAATCTGCTGATGAGGACTCTAATCAGTTTTGAGAGCAGGTAATTTCTCAGCTAGAGATCATCTCCAAACAGGAAATCAGATTCAGGAGATATCTGCTTTATGCAGCACATCATGGTGGACTCGAGCAAAGCTTGTGGTAATAAGCAGAGCTGGAATAAGAAGATGATTATTAACATTATGCATTAATTATTTTACAATCCTCCTACCAGGTGTGCCTTCCTATCTCGCTCATCTCTAGTATTAATGGAACAGGAATAATTCTAGACCCAATCCTGGCATCTGGGCAGGGGTTTTTTTTGTGATGTTTCTCCTTTCTGAAACTGGAGGAAAGATGTTCCCTGCCTTCATTGTGCGTTTAGAGTTTGGCAGCATGCCTGGGATTGTAGTAAGATACAAAAGCATCTGAAGGAAGTGGCCACTGGATGGAGCCTTAAAGGTCATAACAATTGCCGGCTCTGGTACAGATGGTGCTCGCTAATGAAAAACACCAAGTGGGAAAGCAGCGAGCATCAGGGCTGCGGGATGCTGCAGAGCCCAGATCCACCGCCCTGATCCCAGCTCTAGACACCCGAGCCAGCTGCCAGCACGTCTGCCTGCTCCTGCCCCCGGGTCCTGCCCTCACTGTGGCAGCTGTAGATTGCTGGGGCAGGGATGCACTCACACCCCGGAATGCTCTAAAACACCTTGCTTCATAGCAGCAAGACTAGAGATAAGTGACTGTGTGAAGAGAATTCCAGTTTTGATTAAAACCCACAGACCTGCAAGCGTCGGCTCCCGCCTGAATAAGGATGAGGATAATATTGGCAGGAGAAAATGAAAACATCTGATGATATCTGAAGCAGAGGTGTGTCAGGGTGTCAGCTTTGGGAAAAGGGTTCACAGCTTTTTCCTGTACAGGGTCTGGTATACCGAGCCCTTGGTGGCTCCACTCCCTGCAGCCCTGGGAAAGGGTAAGGCAAACTCAGGCAGTGGGATAAGAATTTTCTGGATGAGTGGACGAACGTGCTCACAAGAACGGGCTCTGCAGGGTGGACGAGGGCCATCACTGGGTCCAGCTGTTGGGACTCACCCTCATGGCACACCCAGCCGCCCAGGGAGTGATGGAGAGCTCCAGGGGGTGCGGTGCATTTTGGAGGGGATGTCAAGCCGCGCTCCCTCTATGCAGGCGCTCTCCCTTTAAAGCAATCCCGGGGCCGGGAGCGGGGAGGAGGCGGGGGCGGGCGGGGGGCGCGGCGCCTCGGTTCGGCGGCGGCTGCTGCGGGAGGTGGCCGGCGCCGCGGCGGCGAGCGGAGCCCGGCAGCAGCCGCCAGCCCCGGGGTATGCGGGTGAGAGGGAGAGGAACGCGGAGGAAGGCGGAGAGCGGCGGGGAGCGGGGCGAGGGAGCCCGGCCGAGCCCTCCCGAGCGGCGGAGGATGCGCCGAGCCCCGGGGAGACGAGCCCAGCTGCAGCGCGGCGCGTCCCGCCCGGCCGCCGCCCCAGCCCGCGCAGGTAACGGCGGCGGAGGGAACCGGGGGCACAGGAATGGGGTTTGTGGGGGGAGAGCATCCATCCCCCCGAAGGCGGGGGGGACACCCATAGTCCCTGGGGACCTGCGGCTCTGCAGCGCATCACTCGGCAAGCGGGACTCGATCACCGCGCAGCGGGGCTGAGATGAGGGAAGGGTCCCCCCGCGGAGTGAAGGGCTCTCCCGGCGCGAAGAGCTCTGCAGGGCAGGCAGAGACAGGGTCGCCGTGCTTTGGGCCCCCCCCAGTGCCCCGAGGGGCTGGAGGCCCAGCTCGGAGCGACGGCAGGTGCTCAGTGCCAACCTCAAAACCACCCCGATCGAAGCTCGGCTTTGAGGTTGGATGCATCCAGCAACCTCAGGCAGCTGGCGCGGGAGATAGGCAGAGTGTGGTGTGAGGTGACAGGTTCCCATCTTGCCGCCTGCTCCCCGAAACCAGCCAACTTTGGGCTGATGCTGTGGGCACCTGGCCCCCAGTGGTGCTGGTGGGGCGATGGGAGCCAGTCCTTGCTCGGACTAAAGCTCGAGGAGATGACAAGGGTGCCTGGAACATTACAGCTGGGTCCCCAGGGACTGCTTGCTCCATGATGGATGATACCCCAGGTTTAGCAACATCAGGGTTCAATTTGATCCCAGCCAGGCACTTTGTTTCCAGCTCTCTGTTCATCAGAGGATCTGCCCGGCTAGGGGAGCTGCCTGCATGCTCCTGACATCTTGCTCCCCTGCTAAATTAGGGCAAATTGCCAAGCTGGCCCCCTGCTCCCTTGCCCATGTCTCTATTGAGAAACTGAGTCTCATCTCATGTTCCTCGACTTGTACAGGGGCAATCCACCACAACAGCGACTCGAGGGCCCCAGGGCTCTCCTTTTATCTGCTGCGCTGCCAGTGGAGGAGAGAGAGGTTTAATTATCCTCAAGTGTCAGTTCAAGATAGATCTGCTGGGACACAGCTCTTGGCAGGTGCAAAATAACAGAACGTTTTCATGCATGGGAGGCTGAGCTGGGAACAGTTCAGTGGTTTAATTGGAAGGGTTCATACCAGGGTACAGAAAATGGGACGGTGCAGGCTCCAGCAGTGATCCTACTGCTGCAGCTGTGGGAAGGGAAGATGGATGCTGAAGGCTAAGAACTTTCTCTGGTGCATTGTTTTGTGGGCTTGGAGCAGAGAGGATGCTCCAGGCTGGTAGCACAACCTCAAGTCCATGCCATCCTGCGACCTGCGAGGTGCTGATGTTTTCAGTCTCACTCAGTTTCTCAGCTTTTCAGTCTGTTCCCATGAGAGTCCTTGCAGGGCCACTGGGAGATGTGCCCTGTTTAATGGGGCATGTAAGAGCTGAGAATGTGAATACTCCAGAATCAGGGCACTCTGGGGCTGTCTCCTGGGCAAGTGAGGTGCGATGGCCTCAGGGTTTATGGAACAGCTTCTCCTTCCTCCTCCTGCCAAAATCCCTGAAATGGTTACAGGAGCTTTCAAGCTCTCAAGTTTCCATTTGAATCCATGGAGAAAAGCCCCTTCCCTCACCAAGCAGCTCTGGCATGGGCATTTCACTCCCAGGGAGCTGTCTCCACCCTGCCTGGGCTGCAGTACTGGGTGCACAGAGCATCTGTCTCCTCATCTCCTCATCTCCCATCCAATGCATGCCATGATTGTTGGCCCCTGGAGCCAGATTTGGATCAGAAAGCATAACCTCCTCCTGCTGTGGCATTCCACAATGTCCATATGGCTACCACAGAATGAGACCTATGTCCAGACCCTGTAATCAGTCTGGTGTGGGACACTCCAGCACAAGGAAGAAGAATGTTTTGGTATTTTATTTTATTTTATTTTATTTTATTTTATTTTATTTTATTTTATTTTATTTTTTATCTAGATATGCTGAGCTTTTCTCTGTGCTCATTCCCTGGGGACCATGGGACACATGTTGTAAAGAAACCATGCCTCCATCTCTTCTGGCTCCTTGGAGGGGACGTGGTATCCTGATTTTCTGGTGAAGTCATGGTGTTGTGCTATTGTAGTTAGGTTCCTTGTTTTAGGGTCCAACATAATGACTTAGCTGTGCTTCATTTCAGTGCTGGGTGCAACAAGCCAGCCCTCATGCAGTTTCTACAAGCACAAAACAGCAGTTGGCATTAGAGGTCTGGGGTTGGTCCTGTCTCATCTACAGCAATCATGTTCTAGTCCTCCTTGCTAATTGCTGGTGTCTTTTTCGGACACTGTGAGAGGACATTCAGTAAACATAGTGAGTTTTGTAGTTGCGCTGAGATTATGTTTTCAGGATGACCCAGTTGTTAAATGTCATTTTGGCATCATTCCCTTCATGCTTGTGCTTGGTGAATGTTGCCATTTGCTTGTAGCCACGCTCCTGTCCTGCCAGAGTCACATCCTGCCTTTGTAAATCTGCATTAGTGAAACTTGCTGGCTGTTGCTTGGGTGAAAACCTTATGGATACTCCTGGTGCTGTGACCTGTGTGGGGCTGGCCCTCATGCAGGAGTGCTGGGCATCTGGCTAGTGGTGGCTTGAGGGAGGGCAGCTCTGAGAGGAGGCTTTCTGTCCTTTGTCATAGTTAACTGTGCCTAAGTCTCTGACAAAGGCATTTTCCAGGTAAGACTGAGGAGCAGAGGCTCCTCCTCACTTCTCCTTGGAGGTCAAGCATCTGGGAGATGGGCTGGACCAAGTATGAGCAGAACCCTCATTTCAATTCCAACAATCTTTTGGTGCCACCTGTGACAGGAACATATTTAGACTTGATATATATCCCCCGCCTTGACTTGGGCTTTGGATCAAGGTGTAAGAGCTTTTGATGCTTGCACACACAATAAGGGGAAAAAAAAATTAAAACCACAATCCTCAAAATGTTTGCAAATCCAAGAGCTTATCCTCACTCTGGGTAGGCAAAACTAACCAAGGGTAGGATCAGTAAATCACAGAATCAGCCACTTTAATCATCAAACATCAGGGTTGGGACACAGCTAGCACAGAGCAGCATAACCACACTGAGTCCTTGGGAGTATGCTCAGGATCTGGCACCATGGGTTTTCCCTTTAATACCTTTACAGTGAGCAGCTTGGCAATCAGCAGGGATCCCAGCCATACATGGATGGGGCTGGGCTTCAGGATGGGTGTGATGAAGAAACAAAGGCTGCTTATGGTTACAGAGGACACCCACTGAATGAACCTCTTGCTGGGGCTTTGCAAAGGACAGTGGCTCATTCAGGACCAAATGGGCTGAGCTAATGCAAGCTTTGCAAGGTAATGCACCTTTGTCAAAGGGGTCTGATAACTTCAACCAAGAAATGAAGTGCTGAGAAGGGAGAACAACCACACTTTTAGCCCAGGGAGGAGATTTAGGCCATCCCTGCAAAGCTGAGAACATCCTATCTGCAGATGAGCACATCAGTGCCAACGGTAAGAACAATAAAGGCTGGTAGTACAGCATCCCATCACTTTAGCCACTCTCCTACATCCACTTGCCACCAAAGCTCCTCTCCAGTGAGGCCAGTCCCTGCTGCTGGTGAACAGAGGCCGTCCTCTCTCTGTATTGGTGTGCTGGGGAGGTGGATGGTGTATGGTGAGGTGTGCAGGGATCAGGCTGTCCCAGCACATAGGCATCAGTGGTGCACCATACCCCGAGACAGCCACTGCTGAAGCTGACTATGTGGGGTGTGTGTAGCAGCAGTGGGGAGAAGATGGGCTGGCATCTGGCCTTCAGATCTGTCCTTCTGCCATGCTGAAAGTAAACTCAGAGCCAGAAGTAGGGCAGGTGGCATCTCTCTCACTGGTGCTTGTGTTGAGCCAGGCTGGTGTGTGCTTCATGGGCAGCAGCAAGCCCAGGTCGCCCTGGGGCAAAGTGCCAGTGGACCAGGACAGTGCATCTCTTGGTAAAGTCAGTAGGGACTCACAGACCCAGCCCACAGGGAGCACTGCAAGGCTGAAGGTTTTTTCCAGCATGTTTGAACCTGGGACATCAGCTGGAGTGACAGCATCGCCTGAGCACCCAGTGGTGTCAGAGTCTGGGGTCAGGCCAGTCCATCTGGAGTTTCATGGCATTATCTCTTAAATGCCTTTAACTGCAATGGGATGGCCTGACTGATTGGATTGTGCTCTGTAATTAATTATCTGGGTGTGCCGTATGGGAAGCAGCATCAGTAGGAAGAGAGGGGGGAATCTGCTGGCAGGAGCTGTTAAGCTTCAAATGTCCATTTCTTGTTAAACCAGCCTTGTGCAGCATTAGTCCCTGGGCACAGGGGGTTAGTTCCAGGGTCATGGCCCTTTTCCATAAGAGGAAGTGTTGTTTTGCTGTCTGACCATTCCCGCAGAGCCTGTGCCCTGAGTGCCCCAAAACAACTTGCCTGACCTTGGAGTCTGCTAGGAGGGAAGAGCTTGTTTGGGCTGGGATGTTTTAGGGGTGGTGAGGGGATGCCCCCTCCTGCCAGGGTGACAGATCCTGCAAGGACTGTAGGATGGCTCCAGGGGTTAGGGGCTGCTGGGCATGGCTGGCAGAATTCCCATTGCTCTTCCTTCCCACACCAGAGCCCATGGGCTTCTCCCCTCTCCCCTCCTGCTCCCAAATTTGCTATGCCTCTGCTCGGCTTCTTTGTCTACTTTTACCATCCATTCGTGCCTTTAAACAGACAGCATCCCCCTCAGGGTGGTTTTCTTCCTTTGTGTTTACTGTGGGGATTAATCTGGACCTGCAGTGTAAGGGAAACCTGCAACAAACGGCTCCTTGTTTATTGTTTGATTTGGGAAATGCTGCTGGGCTGGGCTCATGTTTCAGGTCTGTGCTGTTTTTTAAAGTGTGTATTTTGGGAGTGCTGTGGGAAGAGGGGGTGTCCCTGTCTGCCCTGGGCTGGGGTCTCTCCTGGGCATGGCATCCTTTGGGCCTGGGGTCTATCCCTCCTTGTATGGGTGGAGGAGAGAGAGCTCTTCTCAGGATGCCTCCCCTGGGAGGTTAGACCTGTTTTCTGCCTAGGTGCCCCCACCAAT